GAATTTTTTAAATTCTGGCACATCTATGGGGGCCCATTGCGGCTTTGCCAGAAAAGAGTAAGGCTTTGAAGCACGGCACTGATGGGCATATAAATTAGTTTGGGCGACAATGTTCACCAGAAACACCTCCATAAACAGTTGTGGGCTAAATCCTGCGACATCCACATTGATGCCAGGATTTGCGGTGAAGGGTGGCATATCTGGCCTCTGGTAATGAGCACGTCTCCTTCTGGCAGAGGGCCTAGCAGACACTATATCTAGTGATGTATCTGAGCTCCTGGCAGGGTCAAAATCAGGGTCGTAGTCAGACATAGACGCATCAGACTGGATGGTATACGCCTCCTCAGCGCTATACAACCTCTGTGATATGATCACAATCACTGTAGTGATCTATCAAATTTTTTTTTAAAAATCAATAAAAATTAACCCCTAAAAAAATGCACAGACAGCAAACAAGTGCTGCTGTGCAAGAGCTAGTGATTTATCCAGTGATGACTGGCAAAATAGGGGTAAATAGCTCTGAGAGCCTTTGGGTCTCACAATTTTACAAATCCCTACCTAAAACTATTTAAATCTCTCAATGCTCAACTCACTGCCATTTAGGAGTTAAATCACTTTTTTTCTGTTTATGCAGCCCTTGTTAAACCTCCCCGACTCTGACACAGCCTGCATGAAAGAAAAAAAAAAATACTTTTCACTTTCAAATTAGATGTAATTTGCCTTAAAGGGAAACTCCAGTACCAGGAAAACAATCCGTTTTCATGGCACTGCAGGTCCCTTCTCCCTCCCACCCCCGGTAGCTGAAGGGGTGAAAACCCCTTCAGGTCACTTACCTGAGACCTCGGCGGTGGTTTCTTCTCGCCGCCGCTCCTCCCAGACTGATCCTGCCCACCGGCCGGTGAGACCTTATGCGCATGCACGGCCATGCCGCGCATACGCATTAGAGCTCCCCATAGGAAAGCATTGAAAATAATTTTCAATGCTTTCCTATGGGGAATTGAGCGATGCTGGAGCTCCTCACACAGTGTGAGGATGTCCAGCGACGCTCTAGCACAGATTTTATGAGCTATAGAGCAGGAAGTGCCCTCTAATGGCTGTCTGTGGAGTTAACAATGCACGGTACTTATTGCAGTTTATAAAAAAACTGCAATAATTACACTTGCAGGGTTAAGGGTAGTGGGAGTTGGCACCCAGACCACTCCAATGGGCAGAAGTGGTCTGGGTGCCTGGAGTGTCCCTTTAAACAATTTTATCTCTTTCTCTGTAAATTGAACTTTAATCACATACAGGAGGCTCTTGCAGGGTCTAGCAAGCTATTAACATAGCAGGGGATAAGAAAATCTAAATTAAACAGAACTTGCAATAAAGGAAGGATAAACTGTGCAAGTGACATGCAGGGTTTATAAACAAAGTGGTTTAACTTCTAAATGGCAGAGAATTGAGCAGTGAGACTGCAGGGACATGGTCTATACACCAAAACTGCTTCATTAAGCTTAAGTTGTTTTGGTGGCTATAGTGTTAAACAGCTTACTCACCATTTGGTAGAATAGAAACATAACCATCATAAAGAGGGAAATGGACAGAATCCCTAAAATAAATGAAAGATTGTGTACTATGAAATTTTATTTCATAAATAGCTCTGACTCTGTCATTAAGGGGTTAAGTCTTCACTGAGTGCCTCGTCCCCTTGAGGCACTCACACAGACAGAACATCGAGACATCGTTGCAATATCCTTAGAGCTTCCAGCGCTCATATTTTCCACAGACATACTAAGTATGTCCGCGGTCCTTAAGGACCATTTTTTTGTCGGACGTACCTAGTATGTCCACGGTCCCTAAGGGCTTATGTTTTACTCCACAACAGGCTCTTCTTATTTTGCAGTCACAGTTGTTTTGGATAATTTTATAAATATTAAGTTATTACTTTTTAAAGTTTTTCTATATAATTTTAACCGTAGACCCCAATTGCTAAACAAAGAAAAGTGCAGCACCCTATTTTTTGCAAAAAGAAAAGTAATAGCTAACCTAAAAATCCAACTTTATAATTTATTTATTTTTAAAATAGTTATCAGGGAATTTATATGTGCAGATAAAAGTATTGCATATTAAGTTTAAGAAACAAACTACTCTTGTCCAACATGCTTCTACAGAAGCAGTATTTAGAAACAGTGCAATGTTTATCATTAATCAGCTTTAATAGTCATTGGCACATGCCCAACCTCAAAATTTTTCATGTAATGAGAACACTCCATGTCATCGTGAACGATTACTTTTCCTGTGCTACCAAAAGTTTCTATGGCGTACACCTCACCTTCCTGAAAATAAAATAATGTTACTGAAACAGTGGTGACAACTTATCCTACCCAAGATTACATAATCACTGCCTACTTCCTGGCACGAGCAGAGCTGCAATTCCTGGACATTCACAGCAGACACAGGAAGTACAAAAGTCCTGTATTTTTCTATTACATTGTGGTTTTAATGCACCGTTTATAAACCTATATAAAGAATAAGAACAGAGGATTCATCTACCAACCTGTAGTGCTGCATTTTAGAGTGGATTCTTATATTTCTCTAAATATACTACCCAGACACAGATTATTCTTCTCATATATAATTGATGCCATTATGCACACATCCTGTGGATAACAAGTTTATAGCAAGTCCACTAATTCAAAGATACAATTCCCAGGAGTTCAAATTCTCAATATTGGCATAGATTTCTGGAATTACACAATTTTCCATTGTGGTATACTGTGGCATCCAAGGCAGGTGGGACAGCAACTATTCCTGGCCTCCAGGTTTGCGGTTTATACTATCAGTAAAGCCTATGAAATGCATAATTAGTTATAGACAAAGAAATATTAATGTAAACGTTTGCTTTCAACGTGTCTACCACAAAGTATAGATGCACGGTGAAGATATGTTAGTCTTCACAGGTGCACTTTAAGCTAACACTGAGTTCTTAGAATCTGCTAACCATAACTATTAAAATGCCATGAACTGAATGGCACTGGCACTGGGGCACACACAAACTCTCTCTCAAATAAAAGTCAAATTTCTTGTTTCGGGAAATGTAGATTGGTACCAAGTCTTCTTTCTATGGATTTAAAAAGTGCTAGAAAGTTAAACTTGCAAACGGCATATAACAAGACTTTACCTCCATTCTTGTTGCTTCCCCTCCTTTGACAATTGGTACAGATTTTCCTCCATGCACTCTGTATTGTCCAATGGAGTGACCGTTAAGGTTACGAATGGGTTTGACTGTAACACAGAAAACTAGCTACAAAACACTCTTCTGATGTCATTTACACAACCATTCACCCAACATAAAACCCGGCAGGAGCATATTCTACAAAGGAAAAACATTACATCTTTTGCTTTTTAAGGATGGTTTAAACAAAAATAATTCAAAAACACAAATTCTGCACAGAACTGGTTATACATTTTTACAAAAAGCATCAAAAAACATCGGGTCTAGCTAGAGTCACTATGATACTGTGTATCAGTCCAGTCCCTAAAGCAAGGCTTTTATTAAAGACACAATTCAGGGTAGGATTTCACAGGTAAATAACTTATTTTATTTTTTTGTTGCAGTTTGATATAAGAGTCTTGGGAGATTTACAATGGGCAATTTCACGAAGGAACGAGTAAAAATAGTTTAATTTTACTTTCAAAATGGCAGATCCATTATTTTGACACAAAAACTTACCCCGCCACAAAGTAAACCACCACATTCACCCGCCCTTTTAGATCCTGATTAATTCAGGTGGGGATAGCTGAAGGAGTGGGTGGTATATGTGAAGAAACCATGTACCCTTGAGCAGCTGAAGGAAAATATCCGTGCAGAGGTTCGATCGTTAGAACCTCAAACATTGGCTAATGTTATCAACTGTGCAATCAAAAGAGCCAGACTATTCAAGGCGGCAAATAGGGCACATTTAAAAGATGTCATCTTAAGTATTAGTTGAACGAATTGTCATACGTTAAACATTCATGGTATGTAATATTACTGAAATTGGTGAATTAAGAATTTTTTAAAAATTAGAAATTATTGACTCATCAAACCCTACTCTGAAATTTAGGTAAGATAGGAAACTACAAAAGAATTAACACACATGTAAGACTTCAACATACCTTGATATGTTTTACCATCCAACTCTACTTCGTATGACTCCATTACTTCTTGGATTGCTTTTCCCACATCACACAGGCGTACATCAATACCAGAACACTAACGCAATACAAAACCATATGATTTCAGAAAACAAGCCACTCGTTCCTAAAGCAGTAATTATTTTCTAATTCGGCACACTGGGTTCTTGATCTTACAGTACTTCAACAAAAAGCATGACAGATCCATTTTCTAAATAATTAGATGGACCTTTTGCATATGTTAAACCATGGGTCTTTGAAAGAGAATTAAGAAAGATTATTTTTTTTTAGAAGGTGTCATCATTCCATACCGTAAACTATTTAAAGCAAAGGCAGGCAGGTAGGCAGAAAAAAAAAAATTGTATATAGATAAAGAATCCCAAGTAGGGTTAATGGGAATTAATGAAGGTACGTATACAACAAAAGTACTTACATTATTGTATCTATCATTACACAAATGTTTCTGTATAATACATTTTCAGGGGTATCATTTACATTTGATTATTTCTAAACCTCATTCTTTAAAGAGATCATAACATACACACACTCTGATAGACCTATGAACCATGTGTTTACCCAGGGTACTTCTAAATCCTGGTTAATGGAAGCATGCCAGGATACAATCTCACAACCAAGCACCTTCAATAGGGCACAGGAGAACTTCATAGTAATAGAGATTGAGGCTGGAGGAATCCAGTGCAACTCATTAAGTAGTGATAATGTAAGGGAGCTATACTTGACCCACATATTTCTCAATGGCAGCTGTAATTCCCCCCCTATACTGTTAGACATCGTTGGACCCCTGTGAATTCCTGCATGCTAAACATACCATTGATATGGGTTTCAAATAAATTTTGCACACATCGTCATATTGTAATACTGTAGTGTCCCCAGCGTTAGGAGTGTAATGAGCTGCACAGTTATTAAGGGAGCAGCCTGCAGGGAATGCAAGGCCGGCATACAGGCCATTCTCTTTAATCAGCTTACGAGAACAGTCTTCAAGCTTTTCACTGAAATCAAGTACAAGCAGAATGCATGGCTAAAACTATACAGGCTGGTCACATCTTGTTTTGAATAATGGGTTGACTACGAAGAGGTGGGCAGACTTTCCTGGAACAGGCCAATACATATTTTTTTTTTAAAGTCTACCATGTGTCAGGTGAAAATAAATTAAAACGCAGACTCACTACCACTTTAGAATTAGGGTTACTATGACAACCTGGCATGTCACTGGTCGTCAGGGTGTTCCTTAATCAGAACAGGTGAATCAGACAAACAAAAACAGGGCTTTGAACTTTTAGAGTAAAACATACATACATTAATGAATCCTATAACCTGGAGTTGCATAAAAAGTTGATTATCTTCATGTAGTTATAAAATTTAAAATACATTTTTCACCAACAGCCAATTACATTATGTTTAACTCAATAAAGGACAGTCGTAACAGGGCAGGCAATAACCTTTTTTCCCCTCACACAAAAATAATGACAGACCTGGACACCTAGCATGCATAGAATAAATAATTACCAGATCTCGATCATAGTCATGCCTGGTTTGATAAAGCCCATGACATATTTCCGAACTTGTCTGTGAGCCTCGGCATTTTGTCTGAAGTCAGCCCATATATCCTCACTCGCTTGATCCAGAGCTTTCTTTTCAGCATTGGTTATTCTCCAAGCAGCAGATCGTCTGCAAAATACACATACATGCTTATATTAAAATTTTTACGTTTACATTAATTTTATAAAAGGGAGGTGGGAGAAAAAAAAAAAGAAAGAAGAAAAAAGGTGAAAGAAAAAAAAAAGTGTTTTGAGACTATCACTAATTAAAGTCTATTTCCATAAAGAGGGAAAGAATTATAGAAGCAAAAATATGTTGGCCTTGGGGTTCCCTGAAGTTAACATGAAGTTTGTTCAGTGATAGTGTATCAAGTTCGAAATTAACAGCGTCTATGAAAATCTAGCAAAAAATTAAAACAGAAAACACTAAATCTGCAGCTGATGACGTCACCATCGAAAAGGCCCAATGATCAAGATGGGACCGATAGAACTGTATCCCCGACTTCTTGTTCAAATATTAGTGAGAGCAGCCATCGTTCTATGAGTTTGATGGGCCTGGCTACTAACGCTTCTCTGAGCTTGATAATGAAAGAAAGCTTCCTTACATACAGATCTCATGAAGATCGCAGCAGATATAAGGTCAGATATACAAGAGCTAGGGGCCAGAACAACAAAATTGGAAGATAGAACAGATGAAATTGTGGCATATTCCTCTATGGAAAAAAGGTTGAAAAATTTGGAAGAAAAAGTGATAGAGCTAGGTGGAACAATTTTAGAATTCGGGGAGTGCCAGAATCTATTAATGGACCACTCTAGGCACACAGACCACTTCAGCTTAATGAAGTGGTCTGGGTGCCAGGTCCCTCTAGGATTAACCCCCTTTTTTTTTTTTATAAACACAGCAGTTTCAGAGAGACAGCGTAAACTAGGACAAGCCGGGGTCTGCTAAAAAGTAAACAGCAAGCCGACAACCAGAACAGATAAGGATTAAGAGAAAACGTAGTCAGAAACAAAGCCAAAGTCAATACGGAGAAACACAACTGAACACAACAACCGCTAAAGGGAACTGATACAGAAACCACGATAGGGCAGGGAGTAAAGGGAGAGGTAAGTTTAAATAGCTTCAAAACTAATGTGATTGGCTCCTGTCATATCCACACCCCCAAAAGGTAAGTGTATGGGGAGTGTGGTATGACAGGGGCCAATGGGAGCCTTTTGACAATTTAGGCTCCCACTGTCTCTTTAAGAGCGCGCCCGAGACTCGCGGCGCGCTCTTAGATTCAGGCGGGACACGTGACCGCTTCTCGCGGTCACTGCCCGCCTTGCTAGTGGAGCTGTCGGATGAGCCGCGCGCGGCTCGTGCAGCAGCAGGACCGCGCGCGGCTTGAAGAGAGGACCGCGGCCGGCCCCTGGATAAGGTGAGTAACGCTACAGTACCCCCCCTGAGGACACGCCCTCCGGGCGGGTAGGGCCAGGCCTGGCAGGAAAACGAGAATGGTAAGAACGCACAAGGCGGGGAGCGTGAACAGCATCAGCTGAAATCCAACTGCGCTCCTCAGGCCCATAACCCTTCCAATGCACCAAGTACTGAAGTCGACCCCTAAGGTAACGAGAGTCAAGAACAGCAGAGACTTCGAATTCCTCATGACCCTCCACGGAGACAGGAGGGGGAGGTGGAGAATGCCGGGTATAGCGGTTGCGTACGTAAGGCTTTAACAACGAAGTGTGAAACACATTAGGAATACGCAGATTCCTAGGAAGACCCAAGGCGTATGAAACAGGATTAACCTTATGCAGTATACGATAAGGACCTATGAAGCGGGGAGCCAATTTCATAGAAGGCACCCGCAGGCGAATATTCCGCGTGGAAAGCAAAACCCTGTCCCCACAACATAAGTAGGAGCCGCCCTGCGATGCTTGTCAGCCTGAGCCTTCTGGCGAGCAGCGGAATCCACCAAAGAACGCTGAACCTGCTCCCAAGTATTACGCAAACCAGCCAAATGCTCATCCAGAACTGGCATGCCCTGTGAGGAGAATGCAGCCGGAAGAACAACGGGATGCTGGCCATAGACAACGTAAAAAGGGCTTTTGCCGGAAGAATCATGAGTGGCATTATTTCGAGCAAACTCAGCCCAAGGAAGTAGGTCAGACCAATTGTCCTGATGGTGAGACACAAAACAACGAAGGTACTGCTCCAGAGACTGGTTGGCACGTTCAGCAGCTCCATTAGACTGGGGATGGTAAGCGGAAGAAAATGAGAGAGAAATACCCATTTCTGAGCAAAAGGCTTTCCAGAACCTGGAAATAAATTGACTACCCCTATCGGACACGATAGATACAGGAATACCATGTAACCGAAATACTTCTCTAGCGAAGATAAGAGCCAGTTCCTTGGATGTGGGCAACTTGCGAAGAGACACAAAGTGAGCCATCTTGGAAAACCGATCTACTATCATCAGGATGACTGTGTTACCATTCGAAGGGGGTAATTCAACAATAAAATCCATGGATAGGTTAGACCAAGGTCTCTCGGGAACTGGTAAGGGATGCAGAAGCCCACAAGGAACTCTACGAGACGTTTTCATACATGCACAAGTAGTACAAGCACTTATATAGTCAGTGACATCCTTACGTAAGGAACCCCACCAAAAATATCGAGAAACTGCTGACATCGTTTTGGTAATACCAGGATGTCCAGCAGTCTTAGTATCATGATATAATGACAGAATCTCCCGTCTCTCTGGAACATCAACAAACAATTTATCAATAGGCCTCTCGCTAGGTGCCATACTTTGTTTCGCCTGTATGGTCTGCAAGAGGGATGAAGAAATAGACAACATAGTAGTGGCTATTATCCTGTCTGGGGGAATGACAGGAGTAACATCAACCTCCTGTTTGTCAGTAGTTTCGAACTGTCTGGACAGAGCATCTGCTTTAATGTTGCGATCACCTGGCCTATAGGTGATAATATAATTGAAACGGGACAAAAATAGTGACCATCTGGCCTGTCTAGAAGATAATCTTTTAGCTTCACCAAGGTAGGATAGATTCTTGTGATCTGTAAAAATTAGAATAGGATCCTTAGTTCCTTCTAACAGATGTCTCCATTCTTTAAGTGCTAGGATAATAGCAAGGAGTTTGCGATTACCCACATCATAATTCCTTTCAGCTTTGGACATTTGTCTAGAAAAGAAGCCACAAGGATGCAATGGCTTTTCAGGCGATTCTCTTTGGGACAAAACAGAACCTACCCCGATTTCAGAAGCATCAACTTCAACAATATAAGGCAATGAGGGGATAGGGTGCTGTAAAATAGGTGCCGAGGCGAATGTAGTTTTAAGAAAGTCGAAAGCCTGAAGTGCCTCGGGAGACCAGACACGAGTATTACCACCCTTTTTTGTCATACGGGTGATAGGTGCTACAATAGAAGAAAAACCCTTAATAAAGCGTCTATAATAGTTAGAGAAACCAAGAAAACGTTGAATTGCTTTCAAACCCTGTGGTAGAGGCCACTCTATAACCGCAGAAAGCTTCTGGGGATCCATACGAAACCCTTTGGCGGAAATCAAATACCCCAAGAACTGGACTTCGGATTGGTCAAATAGACATTTTTCTAGTTTACAGTAAAGACCATTATTAAGAAGGGTCTTCAATACCGTTGTGACATGCCTGTGATGAGTGTGTAAATCTGTAGAATATATCAATATGTCGTCCAAGTATACAATTACAAATGTGTGAATAAAGTCTCTTAGGACGTCATTAATAAATTCCTGAAATACTGCTGGGGCATTGCAAAGACCAAATGGCATAACAGTGTACTCGTAATGACCGGATCTAGTGTTGAATGCAGTCTTCCATTCGTGACCTTCCTTTATGCGTATTAAATTGTATGCACCTCTAAGGTCCAATTTGGTGAACACAGTAGCATGTTTCAGCCTGTCAAATAACTCTGTAATTAAAGGTATAGGGTATGCATTTTTGATAGTGATTTTGTTTAGACCTCTATAATCGATGCACGGTCTTAAATCACCCTCTTTCTTAGATACGAAGAAAAACCCTGCTCCAGCCGGAGAAGAGGATCTCCTAATGAACCCCTTTTCTAGTGATTCTTTAACATACTCCTCCATGATACGGTTTTCTTGAATAGATAAGGGGTACACCCTGCCCTTAGGAGGTATAGTGCCAGGCAATAAATCGATAGCACAATCATAGGATCTGTGAGGCGGTAATTTATCAGCTTCCCTTTTATCGAATACAGTCTTGAGAAACAAGTATTGAGGAGGTATAACAGTAGACAAAGGAGGAGTGGTAGGAACATTAATGGTATTTAAAGGGGTGACTTTAATCATACAAGAGTCGTGGCAGGTTTTACCCCATGATTTTAATTGTCCCAATTCCCAGTCAAAAATGGGATTGTGAGAACACAACCATGGGTACCCTAACACGATATGAGAAGAGGGAGAGGTGATAACCTGAAACCGAATGGTCTCAAGGTGTAAAACCCCTGTGTACATGAATAATGGTACAGTTTCATGGGTAACGACTGGAGTATTTAAAGGTCTACCATCTATGGCCTCAATGGCCAAGGGTATCTCCCTTTCTCTGACGGGAATGTTATTTTTCGTAACAAACTCAGAGTCAATGAAGTTCTCAGCAGCCCCAGAATCAACCAAGGCTAGTATGCATTCTGCTATACAACTCACCCCCGTATGAAGGGAAACAGGGAGAAGCAAACGATTAGGAGGCAATTTAGGAGACTTAGAGATCACACCCAAGGCCAGTCCCCTATAAGGTCTTAGGTGCGAGAGTTTTCCGGACGCAAAGGACATTCCCTTACCATATGGTCTCACCTACCACAGTATAGGCAGAGTCCATTCCTTCTTCTAAGTAGTTTTCAGTATCCGAGAGTTTGGCAACCCCTAATTGCATGGGTTCCTCCTCGGATACTTTAACACTCTCAGGTTTATCAACTCTGGGGTTAATAGATGTGATCAGACGTCTATTCTTGTTTTTGGTATAGAGCCTGTCACGAATTCTATTATCTATATCAATGAGGTAGTCAATAAGATCCTCTAATGGAATAGGAAGCTCCCTTGCCGCTAC